TGGGCAGCTATTTTGATAACAGGATGTATTTTAATAATCATTGTTGGCTTCCTATTATCTTGTTTTTGAAGTCCTATAATGCTTTCACACTCTTGTTTAACTGGCTTTATACTTTTTTGTTTTATTTGACTTTACTATGTGTATATGAACAGCTATTTTGAAGAAAATGAAACAGTATGGTAGCCATTTTTTTATTTTAAATTTTTAGTAGCCACTTTTAATTTGGTGTCATCTTGTTTTGAAATGCTATAATGACTTTATGCTTTTCTTTGGATTTATTTCATTTTGTTTTATTTTACTTGATTTTATTATGTGTGACAGCATTGAGAGCTATTTTGAACAAAATGAGACATTATAGTAACCATTGTTCATTTCACTGTTACCTTGTTTTGAAGTCCTGTAATACTGTCATTCTTTTTTATTGGTTTTATTCTGGGTTTTTATTATTTTATTTCAGTATGTGTAAAGGTGTGGACACCTATTTTAAAGAAAACAAGAGACATTATGGCAGCCATATTGATTTCCTATTATCTTGTTTTGAACTCCTATAATGCCTTCATTCTTTTAAAAATTGGTTTATACTATTATATTTTGATTTTATTTTCTGTGAAGCTATGGACAACTATGTAAAAAAAAAACAAGAGACATTATGGTAGCCAGTGTTTATTTCCTGTTTTCTCATTTTGAAGTCTTCTTTGGCTTGCATTGTTCTGTTCTGATTTGCTTTGTTCTGTTTTGTTTTGCTTTGCTTTGCTTTTTATTACTCTCTTTAAAATGAAAAGAAAAGAAAAAATGTTCAACATCATTGGTCATTCAAGAAATGCAAACTGGAAAAACACTGAGATATTATCTCACTCCAGAAAGGATGGCTAACATCAAGAAAGTAACAAATAACAAATGCTGGAGGGGCTGTGGGGAGAAAGTGATATTTCTTCATTGGTGGTAGGATTATAGACTGGTACAACCACTGTGGAAATTAATGTGAATTTTTTTTTATTTTGAAGAGAATAAAACCAAATGAGAGCAAAAAATGGAGTCAGTCAGAACAAAGGGATGCACATAGTACATGTCTTAAAGCCAAAACACAAGGTGATCAACAGTGGTTACCAGGATGTCTCTTGTTATCTTCAATAGAATTGCCAATATCATCAGGCATAATAAAATTGAACAAAACAGTACAGAACAAAATCAATTAAAAAACACATTGGGGACATTATAGGACTTCAAAAGAAGATAATAGTCAAACCAGAGTGAGTATCATAGTGAATCTTAATGCCTTCAAAGTAGTTGCCTATACTCTCAGACTTGATACTATCAAAAAAACAGATTCAAATAAAATCATTCAAAATAAGACAGTGATCAAACAAAACAGATATAAATAAAATCAGTCAAGACAAGACAGTAAAAGCAATAAGGGCTTCTAATCAAGTTAATAGCAAATCAAAAATGGTTACTATAGTATATCCTACTATCTTTGGAATAGCTGTCCATGCCATCAAATCTAGTACAAGTAGAAAAACTGTAACAGAATATAAACAAACTAAACAGAGGAATGAAAACAATAAAGGTTTCAAATCATGATACAAAATTAACAATGGCCACTGCCTTCCCTTTTTAGACAATTACTCCCATTTCACTTTCACAGGGTGCATTGTATGTTTTGTATCCTACTAACTCCTTTAGTTTTTAGATTAGGGAGGCAACCAGTTATTAACTTAAGTGATTCTAAACCTTTTTACCCCGGAGCATAATCTCAAGTTGTATTCCATTTACCTACAAGAACCTCAAGGTTTTCCTTCCTTATAGCTGAGTAGTTCTCCATTGTATAACAATGTTATGTTTTTCATACCAATCTGCAGCTGAAGGACAAGCTACCCCCACTTTTTTCTGGTAACCTATCACATTTCTCATCTTCGATTTTCAATCCATAAGCTCTATTTCAGGTTAATTATATTTCTTATATAGAGGATGTTGATGGACCTTATCTCCTGATCCACTCTGTCTGTGTTTCTTTTTATTAGTGTAAGAGGCCATCTATGTTAGAGATTATGGCCAATCTTCTCTGCCTCATCTCTGCCATGTTATTTTTCTGCTTTTGGTTGTCTACTTTTCCCCTTCATTACAGTGTTTGCCCTGTTCAGTGAGCCCCCTCTGCTGCTGTTCCTGAAGCCAGGACCTTTTTTCTCTCCCTAGAATGTCCTTTAGTGTTTTTTGTAGGGTTGAATTGGTGGTCATGAACTCTCCCAATTCCTCTTTGTCATGTAAGCATCTTGTTTCTTCGTTAATTTTGAGAGATAGTTTTTCAGCATACATCAATCAGGGTTGGAGTCCATTTTATTTCAGGGTTTGGACTACCTCACTCCAAGCTCTTCTTGACTTGATGGTTTGTGTTGAGAATTCTGTCATGATTCTGACGAGTTTGCCTTTATAGGTGATCTGTTTGTTTTCTCTGATAGCTTTTAATATTCTCTTCTTGTGTTGAATTTCTGGGATCTTGATTATTGTATGTCTGGCTGTAGATCTACTTTGATTATAGCTGGCTGTGTTGTACTCTAAGAAAATAGCTTCGTTATATGTGTATTATAGCAAACCTGTAAAGTGGCTTACTAAATGTGTTTTTTTTTTATCCTTTTTCCCTAACTGATATGTTAAGGGACCTAATTGATATGTTGAGCAATACTCTCCTCTGTAAAGAATTGCAAGAATCTCACCTAATTGACATGTTCACCATTGTTGCCCTCTCCAAACTACAGAAGTTGTGCTAAAACAAGCTAACAAGGGTTGTTAATCACTGTTAGGCACCTCTATTCTCCACTAAAGAGCTAAAGAAAACTGGAATGGCTCATTAATTTATACTTGTTTAAAGTAACCTGCTTGTGTGCAGAGAGATTTGTGTATGAGTTTAACCCTTTACCCTGACCTTGACACATAACCGCCGTTTTCTGTTCTGTATGGTGCCTTATTGCCTCCCTCTCCCCTCACCTATCTATCTAGGCCATAAAGAATTTGGGTTTCTGGTGACCTCCTCCCAACCCGGTGATGATCTGTCATAAAATGAGCCTGCCCCAAATTTTAAGAACTGTTTAGCTTCAAAGAAATTACCAGCAAATACTATGGCCCAAACCCCAATCGGTGCTTTCCTTTTGTTCTGTATGCATCAAATAAGTTAGATATCAGATCTTTGTAAAAGTTAAGTTTCAGCTTCTTGTAACTCTTGACCCCTTCGCACCCACTAGTGAAAACGAGCTGTCCTGGGATAATTAACTGTCCACTTTCTTCCCCAAATATTGCTGCAGATGTGCCACTCTGAGATAATGTCAGTCTGTAGGATGGGAGTAATTTGAGAAACACCAGGAACTACTGAGATTGTCAGAGCTAAGTGGACAGCAATACAGTTTCCATACTCGGGTCAACAAGTTTGATGGCTCTGCAGGTTTCTTTGTTTCTCCCCCCCCCCCTTTTCCTCCAGCCTCTTTTTAAAGTCCTCCCTTCAGTCTCTGGGGGACAGTCTGCAAATTGGCTCCCAGAGACTGGTCACCAGGCCTGGAAATAAAGCCTTTGCCACCTAAATTTTCAGTCTCTTGCCTCCTTGGATTTTATACTGGGGCCCAAGTTATAACAGCTGGAATTCTGTATCCATCATATATATGAATATCATTTCTTTTTTTCTATGCTTGAGAAGTTTTCCTTCATTATTTCTATAAATTTCTTTGTATTTCATTTTTGTTTACCCCTGCTTCTTCACTCATATTTTTTATTCCTAAGCTATAGATCCTCTTGTCATCTTCCAGCCTTTGTATTGTTACTTCCTGGTTCCTTGTTACATTTAAGAGCTCTTTCCTTTCATGATCATAAGCTGCACACCTGTCTTTAAGGTTTGATAGTCTATCTTTAATTTCTTTCAAGTCGTTTTGCCAGCTTTCAATGCCGTTTTCAATTTCCTGATAATCTCCTTGAATCTGTTTCATGTATTCTAAATTTTTTTATATTCTTCATCGAGTCTGCTGCTCCCTCCATGACCACATCTTCCCACCAAGGTCTTCAAGCTTGCCAACCACCCAACTTCACTGTGATTTCCTAGCACAGAGCAGATTGGTGAAAATTGCTTAGACTGAGTCCCACCCCTGTGTGCAATCCAATAGCCACGGCCGAGGTTTCCCTAAAGCTATCCCTAACCAACCCTGACTACATGGCACACACTAGTGTACTGAAGACTCCCTGTGGTTAACCATCTCAGAAGGGAGGGACCAGCCTGCCCTGCCCCTGCTTATACTCCAGGAGTCACTCTCTCTCTGAGAGAAACAGCCCATATACTGGAATACAGCATTCTGGAGAATATCACAAAGAAAGAAATGGATCCCCTTGACCCAGGAAGAAAGTAGAGTGAAAAAAAGAAAGAAAAGAAAAGAAAAACTTAAACAGGAAGTGGTAGCCAGACACACTGGCACTGGAGCTGATCCCCCTGTGTGCAAAGCACCACTGGAATCTATACACATACAATTGGAGAGTCAATTACCATTCAAGAAACCAAGAATGGATCAAAAACCTTAGGTCTAGATCAACTCTGAAGTATCACATGACTTGGAATTCTCCATTTCTCAGGCCTGAAAGACCCTAGAAAGATTATCAAGGCCATGTTCTTTATTCTAAGGTGGCCTGTCAATAAAATCTCCTGGGAAACTAACCAAAAACCCTTTCTTCTGAGCTCACCTAGGAAAGTCATTAGGCCAATAAGACTGACTGTGGGAGTTTATGATGTTAGATTAAACGGAGAATAAACTGGCTGTGAACTATGATATGAAAAGGAGCTAAAAGTTGCAATTTCTGCATCCTTTTCCCAGACTCACTTCTTTACCTCGTATATTCCTCTTTTAATAATGCAGTTTTCCTACTCACAAACTAGAAAACTATCACCAGGAATCTTTAAAGCACACTTGTTTGTCATAAACAAAATGTGATTTCATGATAGTGGGAAATATGACATGGTTCTTCTTCCTTAGGAATATGAGGCTCCTGCAATAGATGACAGGAAATTGGAAGTGGTGGCAATCTTTGGCACTGTGCAGATGGCTATGTCCCGTATCATCAATTTACATCACCATCGTATTGCCCAGGTAGGCAGGGGTTGGGTGGGTACCAATAAAAGGCTGAGTTCTGTGGCTGCAAACAAGCACATAGTTAACCCCAAGAATTAACTGGGTGTAAGAGTTCCAGAGTTGAGGAAGCAGGTAATTTGGTGAGTTGGCTACGCTTGGAGACAGAGGTTGCAGAGACCAATGAGCAAAAAGTTCATAGAAATACATGTTTCTGCCTGGAATGATTTGATTCACATCTTTGCCCGTACTGCTTCAACACACAGTCAGTTCATAACTATGAGATTATTAGACTAATCTATGTTGGTTGCCTCATTTTTCTTCCCTATATGCTCTCCTTTTCTCTGACAGTGCCGTGAATTGATGATAACCATTGATGGTGAAGAAGGTATCCCTGTGCAGGTGGATGGGGAGGCCTGGGTTCAGAGGCCAGGTCTTATCAAGATTAGATACAAAAATGCTGCCCAGGTTCTGATGAGAGATCGGGTAAGAGGAGAAAGGCCCATTTTGAGCTTCTACACTACCTCATTTATAGCTATCACATGAGAACTGAATATTTCCAGTCAAATAGAATTCTTCAAAGGAAAACCTGCATGCCCTTGCTATCAGAGTCACCTGTGATGTTGCTTATAAATGTACCAGAACTATGATCAGAATGAGGAGAGGTGGTCCCCAGGAGCCTATATTTGTAAACATATTCCTTAAGACATTGAAATACATACGGACATTTGCAAACCACTTTCCAAGAGAGCAAAACAAGGCCCTGTCTCCCATGGTTTTGGACAAGGCTATCCTGCATTTCACTGCACATAGAGTTAAAGGATTCATATGATAATAGAGAAATGTTCTTTCAGCAACATATTCTATATTAAATATTGCCGCTAAGTTCCTTTAAGGTGCCTCAAAATTCTGAACTCACAAACATCAACCAATTTAGCTAAACCTTTAAAGCTACAAAGAAGCCATTATTTATCAGCTCTTTGGTATTTGGGTACTGTCTTCTACTATAACCTGTGAACAGTCCATAGAAACAGCAATAGAGAGGAAAGGGGATGTCCAATTATAAAATACCTAATTTATGCTGGATACTTTATATGCATTGCCTCACATATGTCCTTCCAACAATCCTGTGAAGTAAATAAACAATTTGCCCATCTTAATAACTTGCTAACAGTTGCATAACTAGCAAATGACACAAACATGATTTACAATTAAATTTCGTATATCTAGCTATAAGTTCCATCACAGCATATTGCCTAGATTGGGCAAACAAGAGAACATGGAAAGTGCTCTACTTTCTTATTGATCATGATGATCTAATCTAGGAGTGTCTGGACACTAAAATATCTTTCCAATTAAAGATTCCTACAACCAAGCATATTAATGACAGCAAAAACTTAAACATTGACTAGAAAGATAGATAGATGTAGAGATGGAAGAATTTATGGAAGAATGAAGAGGGATTGACATTCTCCTTTATGTACCATACCCACTCATTACCCACAAATGTCAGACTCAAATAGATCTGTCAGGTGTCTTCTTAGGGATTGCACTCATTAGGATCTGCCACTGTGTTCATCTCTAGGACTTTGAGAACTCAATGAAAATGTGGAAGTGCAAACATAATGAAATTCAAGCTGTGCCTCAACCCCAGTTGGATTCCCAGGACTTTCAAGATAGTCTCTCTGATGAGGAGTATGCCCAGATGAAGCACTTAGCTCGACTTGCAGAAAACCTCATTAGCAAGTAAGTAAACTGGTCACAGTAAAGGACTGGGAAACATGAGAAGGGATAGAGAGAAGCAGCCAATTTATATCCATTGACTGCCAGAGAATCTGACCTCAGAAAGGAATGTCACCTAGGGCTCTAAAAATTGATTAAGGGCTCTGACAACCCCCAGATAATATTCCTTGTGGTTGGAAATAAGGCAGCATGGACATTTCCCATGAGGCCCAAAGATAAGTTCTGATTCCCTGATGCTATTTCAGATTCAATGGTACTAAGAATGTTATCCTTGCCCTTAAATATCAAAAAGGCTTTGTAATTTCTAGAGTTATCTATACTACTCTATTTTAGCTTCCTACCCTAACAAAGTTCCCAGTATCTCAATTCAGGTGAAACAAAGATGCACAAAAATGAATACTTAGAGAGGAACAGAAATGTTTACTGACATCAGGGATACGAAGAGAAGAGAAAAACTAATGAGAGAGAAAAAGAGTTCAAATCCAATGCCTAGGGCTTTCATTTCTACACTCACGAGTACATCAAACCAAAAGTTCTGAGCTCCCAGCTCATCTACTGTTCTTGTTTTATTACAGACTTAATGACCTCAGCAAGATCCACCAGCACATGTCTGTCCTCATGGATTCTGTGAATGCTAGTGTTAACATCTTGAACAATATATTTTATGGCCAAGACAGTGGAAATAGGGCAGGTGCATCTTTTTGTATTATCACTGAGGTAAGGAAAAAGGGATAGATGAAGGACAGGATCAAAATTAGAAAAGAAGAAATGAAAGAGAAGGAATGGGGAAGAATAGGTTGGATGAAGAAACTGGAAAAGGGTTATGGCAGGAAATTTAAGGAGTGGATGGAAAGCCAGGAATTTTCTGACTTTCTATAGGACCAAGGTGGCTACTGGGGAAATCCTACAGTAGATTTCATCAGCCTGACAACCAACACTTTTTCCTCATACCTACCCACCATACCAGGTTCAGAGAAGAAATGGCAGTGGATGGAGAGCAAATTGGCCTTGGACCTTTCCAGTCCCAGGTGTTTCCTTCTATAACTTGAGAAAGTGATAGCTGGCATTGAAATCAGAGCTCTAAGGTTCTCTAGTTTCCCTTTTGAGGAAAAGGTTCAAATCAGATACTGTTAAATGTACCATTTCATGATTTTCCCTACTGCCAAAAGATTTAAACAATGCTTTTTTACAAAGTAACTTCAGAGCCCTTACCTAGCATACATGAAGCGTGGGATTACATCCATCTCCACCACCAAAAAACAAAAAACACACTTTAGTGCTAGGCAAAAATACTAGAATTTGGGCCAGGGATTTAGCTCAGCAGCATAAGCACCTTACTGGTAAGCACGAGGTCATGAGTTTGATCTTCAGTAGCCTAGATAGTCCTAAGAGGCCTGGGACCCCAGATATAGAGTTTTGAAAAAAGGGATAGTTGAGTCAAACTCTACTTGCCATAGAAAAGTTGATTTTAGTGTAGGGACAGTGACTAGCCTCAAATTTATCCACTGGTTTTCCTATTTTCATATACCCTCTTTATCCAATGAATGACACCAAAAGCTAAGTTTTTCTGTGCTACTTTGTAGTGCACACCAATACAGCTGTACCAGTTGACAGCTGGCATCAGTTCTGATTGATTGGTGCCTATGTTGTATTAGATGTGCTATATTTTGAATATTAATTTTCATCTACAGCTGCATTCTACTAGCCTGCTCTTACTTCAGATGAAAAAGCCAGCTGCATGCCTACTAACCAAGTCCTCTGTCTTTGTCCTTTCCCTTCCTGTCTTTTCTTTTCTCAGACTCTAAGCAGAACTGATGCAGTAGATGTTACATTTAGCCTTAAAGGTCTCTACAGTGACACAAAAGCTTTCCTGGATGAAAAGTTGGTGAGTGGAGGGGGATGGAGCATGGCATGTCAAAGAATACCATGTGAAATCTGTGCTTGGTTCCCGGGTACTGCAAACATGGGGTCAGTTTGAGCAGGTCTTCGCATGGCAGTCTCTGCTTTGTCATCCAGTGTTGTCATTGATTGCATTATTTCATAGGTTATGCTAATTCATGTTATGTTAATTTCTTGAAAGAAATCCCTTCTTTCTTTTTTCAAATGTCTCCTGGGTCCCAACCAGGCCAATTAAAGGTCAGATCTTCTCATCATACCTGATATGGTGCATAGAAGAGTAAGGTATTTTGAGCTCTCAAGTTTCTAGATGTTTTTTCTACATGTTGAAAGACAATATGAACTAGTGGGAAAGCTTAGGGAACTTTTGATTCAAATTCCAGATCTGCTATTTACTAGTTGTTTCAATTCCAGAAGGCTGCTTTAACAAAGTACCAGGAACTATGTGACTTAAAACAAAAGAAACTTATTGCCTCACAATTCTGAAATTTAGAAATCCAAAATTAAGATGTTAGTAAGGCTTCATCCCCTCTGAAACCTATAAGAGATCCTTGCTTACTTCTTCATAGCTTCTAGTGGTTTGTGTAAATCTTTGGTGTTCCTTGGCTTGTAGATGCATCACTCTGACCTCTGTCTCTATCATCAAACAGCATTCTCCCTGAGTATCTTTGCCTTCATATGGTCATCTTAAGAACATGAGTCATATTGGATTGGGGTCAGCCTCATCCAGTATGACTTCAACTTAATAATTAATTACTTCTACAAAGTCTCAAATTTCAAATAAGGTTATATTCCAAGGTATTGGGAACTTCAACATGTTTTGAGAATAGGGCACAATTCAATCCATAACACTAGCAGTGTGAAATAACTTCTCTGAGTCTTAGTTTCCATCTACAAAATAGAAGTTGTGATCTCAATCTGCCTGGTTATCCTTGAGAATTTAGCAAACTATTGTATCATAAGTGCCTAGTAACACGGCAGTGGCCCAACATTAGTACTAGAAAAAATGGACTAAGACTTTGTTTTTAGGCCACAAGACTAGTTTCATTTTTCTCAGAATGGAAATACTTTTCTCAGAATGGGCATACTTGATAAATGTGCTTTGACGAGGTACCTGATCATGATCACCCCCACTTTGAGGCTGGCTGCTAAGTCTGAGAGGCAGGTGCTACCTATCATCTAATTAAAGTTTGTTTGAAGAAGGGCTTCTGAGATGAAGCTACAAGAAATATCCACTTCTACTTTTCATTTGCATATCTAATTGGCTTACTGCTCAGGGACAGAGTATCTGAAACACTCAGGCCAGGCGATCTTGGCATCTGAGCCCCAAGCTAGTGGCCCTTAGCTTTATGCAACAACAGCAGGAGTACTTTCTATATATAAGCAGTATTCAGTGTCCTTGCCAGGTTGGGCAGCAGAAAATATGAGAGTTTAACCTCTCACTGCTACTTAGGCTTTCTTGAAGCTTATGTCCTGGAAACTCGTCCATCACAGTCAACAATTTAATTTAAGCATACTTTACCATAGGGCAGGAGCGTCTAGAAGGCTCCTATCTCAAAGAACCTGGTGAAACCTTGCCACCCACCCACTCCCATACAGATATATACATATCCAAATGAAGCCAGAAGGCAGGCAACAGTAACTAAGAATGACCATCTATTTCCAAACAGGCTATCATAGAGGTAGGAGGAAGGTAAGGCTTTATCTCACTATATCAAGGGCTAACATTCTTCCCCTTGAAGAAAGAGGGCAATAACAAGCTCAGTGTTGGCCTTTGTCAGTCAGCTTTCTGTAACTGCAACAAGTTCCTGAAATAATCAGGAGAGAGGAAAAGCCCATGCATATTAGCACATGCCTGTATTCCCAGGACCCAGGAGGCTGAGGCAGGAGGATAGCTGCAAGTGCTAGGCCAGCCTGGGTTATAAAGAATTTAAGATCAGCCTGAACTGCAATAGTGAAACCCTGCCTCAAAAAGACAAAGAAAAAAACAGTTATTTGTTTGTTTATTAGAGATTCCAATCCATGATTTGTTGGCTCTGTAGCTTTTGCTTGTGGTGAGGTAGCACATCCTGTTGAAGAGAACATGGTGGGGCAAAATTGTTTACCTCATGATCAATAATGAAAAAGAGTGAAAGAAGACAGGCAGAGGTCTCACTATCCTCTTTAATGGCATACCCAAATGACCAGAACACCTCCTACTAAGCCTTGTCTCCTAAAGGCTTCACCAACTTCCAGTAGTGCCTTTAACACATGGACCTCTAGGGGGCCAATATAGTGGGAATTTAGTTTTTCAACAAATTGAATCCCACCGATAATTCCTACTTTCTTTATTTGGTATACATTTACTCTGTGTATCCGGACTACTTTGTATTGTTCTGTCATTATTTGTAAAGTAAAAGAACTTATTTGTCAGCCCTGACTTGTTTCTCCTTCATATTCCATCTGACTAGCCATAACCTCCCATCCCACCCCCTGAACATTCACTTACATCCAATTGTGATAGGTAATAAAGCACTATCTATGGCTGGAGCAGAAAACAGGCCAGACACAGCAAAAAGCCACAAATGTGCCAGATCAAAAGCAGAGTACATGACTGAGAGAAAAGATGAGGCCAGTTTAGCTGAGCTGCAAGGCTTTCCGGGCTGAATATATAAGTGTGTTTCTGTCAGTGTGTTTCTGTGTCCCCAGCTTATTAACTAATGGAACATAAATGATCTCATCTGTATTGCTGATCTAGAATTTGGTTTGTGTGCATTGGAGATGATCTCAAAAGGATCTAGTCTCCCATACACTGTACAGAGTGCATCCTGTGGGTATAGGGTTTACTAGGGAGCACTTAGATTTGGTTTCCTGAACCTGAGGGACAAGCTAGGTTCGTTATTTAATTACTAAGAGTGAATAGCCAGGGGCTACAGCACAACCTAGGGAAGCAGACCCTCTACCAGGAATGGAAAATTTGAACCAGTCTTTCTCTAACCATTTCTCCTTGCTTTACGAAATAGCTTTTAAATTACAGTAAGTGTGCAATAAAAATTTCTCCTGGCATCTGGCCTCCCTTCTTGTGGCCACCCCACATGTCCTTTTCTGTGATAATGTTGTATAAAAGGTAGGTTATTGAGTTAAACAGATCTGGCTTCTGTTTATCCATGTATTGTTGAGCACCAAATTTATGAGTCTGTTTTCTTACATATGAAATGAGGACAATACTTTTAAAGTATTATAAAGTTATTGGGAATGAAGAATCAAATTATGTTGCATAATTTCTGGAATACAATACGTGCTAAAAACTTGGTAGCTGTTATATAGGGGGACACTGTGATGGTTCCAGAAACTTTGTCCTAGACCCTAAACTGTAGGGAAAAAAAACTAAGTGTTAAATGATAGTGGACAAAATTTCTTTGTTTACCAAACAATGAGTATGCCCAGGCCCAAAGTGTGCCCACCATCTGTCAAATTCTTGGCTCTTCCTGTTAAGAAAGAAGAGAACTTTCTGTAGCTAGATCTTACTTTCAAGAAACCAAAAAGCAGATGATAGGCCAAAGGAAATACCAGTTGTCACTCTGTGGTGCCTTGGCCCCTAGAAGGAACTAGGAGTAAGGGGGAGGGCAAGAGTCTATGAATGCAGAGTTCTTGGCATTTGGGCACTCATTCTTTTTCCTGTCTGTGGCAGTTGAAAGATGCTGAGGATGAAGCCACACTACAAACTGCTCTGGATGCTATGAATAAGGAGTTTGAAAAGCTATCAGAGATCAACTGGATGAATTCAATCATTTTTCCAGAGGTACATAACTTAGAGATCGAAATAAAGGGGAAAAGAGAATTCTTCCTCAGTACCTTATCTTCCAGTATGATAGCGTGGTAACTGAAGCAGTTTGTGGTAGCTTTAAACTTTAACTTTAATGGAGTGTTTTCTTCCTCATCTCATCTTAAGAGACTAGAACAAGGCAGAGATCATGAAAAATGGGGTTACCATAGGAAGATAAATGAAGACCCACTTTGTAGCAAGAGATCATCAGAAAAGAAAAGGAGAGACTGGGATTTATCTGTGTTTCCTGACTTCAAATTGCCCCCTCCTTGCACAGTAGCTGCTGAACTTCTCCAGTACTTACCAGCATGAAACTTCTCCAGTACTTACCATGAAAATTGTTTACAGGCAAAATGTGTTCTAAATGTTTCATTCCCAGGCCACACTGATAGATGAATCTTCCAAATATCACCTCCTCCCACTGTTTTCTGTCTTTTCACCTCTGGGAAGTTAGTAGGCTCTTCCAGCGTCACCCCTTAGCAGGTATATGGCTTAAAAGAAAATTGAGCATAGCAGCAGTGACTATCTCTCAGATATAGGAAACTGTAATTTTTTAAAACAAATCTAATTGCTTCCCAAAGACTGAAAAATAGTCCCTTTTCATAAATCAAATGACACAACGATGCCTACTTATCACTAGGTAAATTATGCTATTTATGATGTGTCAAGTACTCTCCAAAGCCTTTTCTGCTTGAAGATCCTGACGCTGCCTCTGAGTAAAGGAAACATGTTAGACAGCAAAGGGTGTAAAATATGATTGTACCCTGTTCCACCATTACCCAATTCAGCTGACTCTCACCAAACTCCTGAAATAGGCAAATGGACTGGATATTGAGCAACATGAGATCAAAAATGTCCATACCCTGAGATCCCACTTTATATATTAATCGGTTTGGCCTATGACATAATCTTTTTCTGAGTTCCAGTATTTCCATAGAAGTGAGATTATAAAGGAGAGAGTAGATCAAAAGAAAGCCATGAAGATGTTGATACTTGATACCAGTATTGCTCACAGAAGATTATGATCCAATTTGCAGGGGGGGGATAGGATGAGACTCAAGAATTCATTAGACTTTCCAAGGGTTTTTCTGAGGCCAATGTCCTGTGCCCTTTCTTACAGTTACTTCTGAAAAGTAATTCTGAAAGTTGATGTATATAGCTAGTAGGATTACTAGAGGAGACAAAGTAGAACTAAAAAGAGGAAAAGGACAGATTTATATCCTTCACCTAACAGGGTATAAATTGTAGGTATGGATAATCCCCAAAACATGATAATCTGAAAGCTGTTTGGAATGTATTTGACTGGATTTTATAACAACCAAGTTAACCTCAGAAGTATGTCTTACAAAAGCTAGTACCAAAGTCAGAATGCTGTAGCAAGAGCAAGAGACTGGGAGGCTGGGCCACACTTACAGAGCCTCCATAATCTGGTCAACAGAGAATCCATTTATTCATAAATAAAAGCTTCATTTAGAAATCCATCTTTGCATTCCTGATAGAGAAGCAGATGGCCTGGGAGGCAGGGTCTATCCTATAAGAAAGTACTTGGCTAAGGATATTAGCCGGAGGTCATCAATTGTATATCTGAAGAAAAGGGTGCTTTTTTCTAATTCATGCAGAGGTGCCATATGATGCAGAAGTAAACCCAGCAAGCCTACATTTCCAATTCCTAGCCACATGACCTCAGGTGAAATATTTAACCTCTCTGAGCCTCTGATTTTTCTTTTCTAATGTAGTGATGATAATATTTTTTCCAGCTTGTTTTCAGGCTTATATGCACATTTATTGAAGTATCTAGTAAGGCAGCTGGCATAGAATAGGCTCTTGGTAAAGCTAAATTCCTTTCCTAGGATGTGTGACCAGTGAGTATCTCATACTGGCTAGAGAATATACCTGCCTGCTTTCTGTAGTCATTCTTGTGCATCACCTTGCCAGGCCTCTAGGAATTACTTATGAATGTCAAGTAACTAATATTTTGACCTTCTTCTTGCTATGGTTTCTCAGGAAAAATCTTCAAATGCTGACACTAGAAGCCTCGGATTGAAATTTAAATTTCGCAAACTGGGAAAAAAGAAATTACAAGAGGAAGGAAAGCCTAAATCAGGCCACAAATTTCACCATTTCATTGGTGAGTCTCTTCCATAAGCATGGGGCTCACGATGATTTTCCCAAAAGACTACCTCTCAGGAATCCAAAGTCTCCATTAGAACAATATAAGAAACATTCACAGGCATGATAATAGTGGAAAAGCTGGAAGAGAGCAAAGTCTGGATAATTCCAAACAGTGTCTACAACAAAATGTGAATTAGAAAGTGATGTGGACACTGGTAGGGAGAGAACATGAGAAAAAACATTACTATGCAGCCTCTGTGATATGGACAGCTGAAAAGAAAAATGCAATCAGGGAGTTATTTTACTGCCTGATGTATTTCTAAGGGTCAAGAACAGTTTCTGTTAATTAATAGACACTTTTCACCTATCTGTTATAGTAAGTCTATAGAAACATGGAATTTTGATATATTTCATTGCTTAAGTTTTGGTTCCATCCAAGTGTCCTTCAAAATTGGTTCTAAGAATTGCTGATATGTCAGTAGGGTCCAAAAGAAAGGTCTCTTAAGAGTTGAAAGTTATGCCAAATCTGATGTTTGTGATCTTTCATACATTTGGGGCTAGACAATCTGCAAGCATACAAGATGTTGCAGTAATGGTCATAGGAAAACAGGGTTAGAGGATAGTAGTTTGTTTGATTTCTAAGGAGCCAAGTGTTTGCACATATGTCAAGAGTGAATCCCTTGGACCAAGCTATGTTTTCTCAGGTAAAGTTCAACTGTTTTGATTCCCTAAGAATCTATCAGAGTTTGTAGCTTTAAAGAATTTTTGAAACTCTGATGGAGTCAATAGCAGTTTCATATTATCAGGCTCTAAGAATTCTCATTTGTGTTTGGTTCTCCTGATATCAGCTGGTTTCTCTGATGGTTCAGAGATTCCTGGTACAATATGAAGAAACCAGTCTGTCTCCTATCTAACACTTTATTCTCTTTGGGGTGTGAGTAGCTAGAAAAGTACTAACCTCATTTCTGTATATGGTTTTTCTCTGAAGGTAATTTGTGGCATCAAAGGACTCATGAAGCTGAAGCAAAAGATGATGATTCTCCAACACAATCAATATCTCAACTGTAGCCCTTGAAAGCTGGAACAACTCACATTTTAGAATTCTACTGTAAACTCTCAAAACTCTAATACAGGCTAGAGTGTACTATTTCAGAACGAACATGAGCACCACCAAGAAAGACCTTCCAATTTTTTATACTAATACATTTTTCCTGAATTTAACCAGGTCTCCTTGGAGATTTACATGTTCTCACTGGCCAAAGATTGTTGTTCTGAGTTTTCCTGTTCAGTTCTCCTTTTCTGTGCATCTTTGAGCACCTACAGTATCTACTGGGATAAGTTCTTTATGTATCTATAAAGGATTCAAGGGAGCTCACATCTTCATGGAGTTTGTGAGTGGTTTTAACTGGCTGGCAGAGAAACTATTGACACTGAAGAACGAAAGAATGGCAGACCCTTGGGGAGATGAAGAGAGGAGACAAGACAGCCAGGCTAGATTGTGTTTCTCCTTCAATCCCTTCCAACTTCAAACTTCAAGATATCTCTTCTAGTTGGCAGTAAGAAAAGAATTAGGTCCTGGGGACTTGTCCTGTTAAATTACCATATAAAATCTGTAAACATTTGTATCTCTGTCTCTCTCTGTCTCTCTGTCTGTCTGTCTCTCACTCTCTCTCCATCCCTCTGTCTCTCTCTGTCCTCCCTTCCTCCCTCCTTCCCCCTCTCTCTTCTCCTCTCCCCTCTCCTCTCCTTTCCTGTTCCTTTCTTCTCTTTCTTTTCTCCCTCTCCTTCTCAATCCTTTGGGTTTTTACATGTATTCATATATGTCTTCTTTGCACATGTCCAGGTGGTACTTTGGTAGCTAGGTGGGCCCACTGGAGGAACTCACCCTTTGTGGCAGCAATATGGGGGCTCCCCCTCCTGCTGCCTTGATACTAGTCTGCATGACTCCATGGATTGTTTGCCTGCATTATTGCTGGATTTTTTAACTAAATGTTTTACTGCTGTGCTGCAGTGTAGATTGTGTATAATGACCTAAATATATATATAGATAGATAGATAGATACTTTTAAGAACTGAAAACACAATTTCATCTCTAGGTTACCCTCTAATTTATTGTGCTAACCCAGGAATCGTCCTCTACCCCCTAATACCCTCCACACACAAGTATGCCTCTACCAACTGCCCTAATTCTTGGTAGAGCTTATAATCTTTCGGTGCATTTTTAGCGAATTAGAAGTAGCTGGGATCTACCTACAGCCAGCTGATTCTGAGGCCTATTTAAAATTTTGAGCCAAGCCACTGAGATGGAAACAAAAATACCAATTCTCCAGAGAAGCAGCTAAGTTGGCATGTTGTGGTTTTTGCTCTATTTGTCCTAATCTTTATATCAGCAACTGCCTCAAATTGTGTTGCTCCTTCCTCAATGAAAAGACTATGTAGAAAAACGAGATCTTTAGCTCTGTGACATAAATATCAGAACTGGAGAGTGCTTGACAACTGAGTCACAACTAGGCCCTTCTCCATAAGCTTTATCTTGGCCTGCATTTTCTGGACAATTTGTTTCGTGAATCCCCACATCACTTGCAAATCTCTCGTCTTGCCCTCCTTCCCTTGAGTACAAGAGTAATCAGAATGAACATGGAGAAATAAAGGCTAAAAACTTTTACTTCCCCATGATTCTTCTTCCAAATTTCTAATGAGAAATTAGGTCTAGACTGTTCCAAATTTTTATTCAAATCTTTTAGATGTCTAATCCCAGTAAACCAAATCTAACCAAACCCCAGTGTCCAGAGAGGTTTTTTCCGCTTTACTCTCATCTCTATCCAACCTTCAACTCATACCTTTGGATGTCTGTATCCACTTGTGAAAAGCAAGCCAGAGAACTGAACTCTCCACATTTTTTAGAAAACATAGTGTGCTCAGTTATTTGATTTAGTCCAATGGCTAGTTAAGCAAGATGCACAATACAAACTTCAAGCACTGGTACTCAACTCTAGAATTCTACCAGCTTAATCTACTTAAACCAGCCACCCATGTTCCACCTCTGCAGGGGTGATGAGAAAATTACTAACAAGGGGATAGCACTAACTGTTTGATTGCTGTGCCAAATAAACAAAAATGTCCTAGCTCTACAACTAAAGAAGAAAGTCAATGGAAAAATATGACAGAAAACATTCTAAACTTATTTAAGTATCAGAATGTTAATTTACTATATGTATTTAAGTGGAGAACATGCTGTTGCCTTGGTTTTGGCTTTTTGTGCACAAGTCTTTCTTCCTAGGAAGAGATATTAGATCAAATTAGCAAAGCTACCTTGCAGTGCAACTTGGTTCCTCCTTGGCTGCACAAATTAACACCTGCATACACACTCACAAAGTTGGGGACCATTCTACAACTTTTTCAGAAAAACATTTTCCAATGAGAAAATTTAAAGAAACAGAAAGAAGCCCTAGCAAAGGGTAGCCTTATCTTGATAATGACTAAGCATCACTATATCTTATACTTTTTTAATCACTGATAATTATAATAGGACTCCATCTCTCATGCTTACTTTGCTGAAATACTATATGCACTATACTGCTGCTGTTGCTCTGTTGTACTATCTGAATTCCCTTTCATCTACCCAGTCTCCCACCCTAAGTCAGAATAATACTGAATGAAACCACTAGGATTTGGGGCCAGAACTGAATATGGAATAGAAGTGATAGATGATATAGCCCAAGAGCATGTGTGGCTTCCGAAATTACTCCACTACCTTCTTAATATCTTAGTTACCCATTTCTTCCAGAAAAGAAAGACTACTTGCTAATCACCTGTTCTTGCATGTGCTCACTTAGAAACAAAGCAAGAAGTGATCCTTATCTCAAGGGAGGTGCCTTAGTACCTGGGAACATAAGCTTCCCTCAGGACATCATTGTTAACTACCATCTCAAATATGTTCAGAATCCACTAACAGCCAAGCTCTGGGGTTTAGTTACATCTTTGATAGCACTTTTTGAAGAAGAGATTGGGTGGATAATGTCTGGCCAGAACAGTGGGGAAGAAATATGCTGATATTCGAGTGGCCACCAAATGCTTCTGGTTCCAAATACTATAGGAGATCAGCAGCTATCTGAAAAAAGCCCTTTAACTGAAAAGTTAAAATTTGACCAGAAAAAAAAACAGTTGGATTAACATCATCTTACCTCAGGAAACAAGTGGCAATTTTACTTTCACAAAATATAGAAACAATTGTTGAATGATTGAACACAACTGTTTGCAGTCTCGCTGTTTGAATGTCCACTTTGTATGCTTTAATTCTGTAACATGAACAACTATTTCTAAGGTGACAATATGTAATCTGTTAACTAGTGATTTCTTACTGTTTATTTTCTTTGAAATTCTGTATTTCTTGTACCCTTTTACTGTTTTATTCTGTTTTGTTTTCTCTTTAAATAAAAAAATTATAAAAGAGATATAGAAACTAATATCAAAGCAACCAAACTCACATACATCATTCCATTCTATAAGGACTTTGACTATATAGTTTGTGGAATTGAATTTGTATATTTGTCTGCTAGTCTGTAACTCATTGCTGTTTTTCTGTTCTGTGAATTTTGCTATATCAGAGGTCCCTGCAAATAAATAGCAGGGTCAAGGGCTGGTTGGGGGAGGAGGCTGGAGTAGTCATGGAATCAATAGGAAAAAATAGAATGAAAAGATCTACAAAGTGTGCTATTCCTCCTCCCTCCAAATGTAACACCAGTCCTCAAAACTGATAAAGTATTGCTTTCTAAACTATTTTAATAAATGAATAAATATAATCAACACTAGTGCCTCATCATTTACTTTGTCATGGAAGAAGTTAAGTGGTGGTAGAAATGGGTAGTTAACTTGAGTGGCCTTCAAATTCTACACAAGCCACATGCATTTAGCGTAGACAATCAAGGGCTGGCAACAGCAACCCAAGGTCTGGCCCTTGGGATTGATCATAATGTTAAAAGAGCTACCACAGTGAATTCTAAAACCTAGCTGCAACTCAACACAATCTTGTGGGAAAATACCTGCCACTATAATTGTTCTAGAAGCCAATTCTCTTACAGGATACAGATCTCAAAGAAATGAATTAGTTACTGAAGAAGTTAAGTGGGATGAAGGAGTAGCACCCAGTAGTCTACAAAGAAGCATAAAACACCTTGAAAAGTTTCATATTACAATCTGTCCGTCCAACACAAATATTACACAGCTCTTAATTTCTCCAGAAGAGGTTGAAGAAGGAAGGAGTATTATGTTCAGATCCAGAATTTGTTAGGCATATCATTGAAATGGGTTAATTTCTGTGCTACTAACAGTAGCACCAGAAAAGCCAGATATTAGTCACATTTAATAGGTAGATAACTAACGCTGTAATGGACAAGATTCTATAACATGCTACACTAGTGTGAGAACTCAAGCCTTCTAAATTCATGATTTTCCAAATACCAAAAATAGTTTCTTAATTAGAGATGAGCCATTTGTGACATTCAGGACCACGTTTCAGTCTATCCCCCCTAAAAGCTGAGTTGTTAAGCTTTATGGAGGAAGCAATCCTATTGTTGAGGAACTATCATCAGGTGGGCCCTGTGATACAGATTAAGAATGTTTTACTGTACCCTTTATACTATTGAAGCACTATCAGAAATGAAATTTAAGCCTATTTGTAAGTGACTATATAATAACATTACCACCTTTTGGATAGAGGAAGTCATTCAATTAACATGTATAGAGATTTATATCACCACCAATACTATCAGGGTATAGGACAGTTTCTACTACCCCATAAATCTCCTTCACATTATTCTTTTATAACACTATGTCTAACCACTGTTCTATCTTCCATCACTGTGGTTTTGTTCTTTCAGGCATGTAATGGAATAGGTAACATTTGGAGATGGACTCCTTTATCTCAACATAATGCCCTTCAGATTCCTTCAAATTGTTGTGCTGTGGTCTGTTTTATGGCCTGTTAGAATTCTGCTGTACAGATTCAACAATTTATCCACTTTCTCATTGAAGTATTTTGAGTTATTTCCAGTTTATTTTGCTAAGTG